TCCCTCTTAAACCTGATTACGGTTTCTTTTTTCATCCCTCACTTGAATGTGATCAATGCCGATTTGAAATCCACACGGATGCCGCTCAGGAAGCTGCCGGAGTTCTTGCTGAACTTTGCGTGTGTCTTTGTCGGATGTATATGATGGAAATATTCGTTTTGATTTGAACTAAATTCACGCCAAGCTCGATGATTCCCATAGTTTGGCAGAACTCATAGACTCGTTTCATTATCTTATTTGGGATGTACCTAGCTTAGGGCCTTCCAGGCCGAGGCAGGGCAGGAGTCATGCCAAGGGGAAGCTAATCTCCTCTTTCCGTTTATCATCTCAAAAATAAGCACGGGGCATGCCCTGAAAATCCCTGAAACCTCAACCCTGAGATCCTGAACCCGGAGCCTTGATTTCTGAAACCCCATACCTTGAACCAAATACCCTGAACCCTAAACTCGCGATCCCAAAGCCCAAACCCTAGGGTTTGCCCAGCGGCGGCAGCGGCAGCCCCCAGCGGTGAGCCAGGCAGTCTTTCGGGGGATGAGGCCCCATCGACCTGCCAAGCCAGGTTGTTTTAGCGTTCAGGATGAATTCATGCTGCTCTTTCCCAGAAGTCAACTGGAAGCGTTAGCTCGTGGACTGGTAGCGGAAGTGCTGTGAAACGTGGGCGTCGGAGGTAGCAGTAGACGTGGTGGTGCTACTTGTCCTGGCAGACCCCCTTGTCTGTGCTTGCCGCTAGGATGTCTATGACAACAGGTTAAAACCAACGGCGCACCCGCACCCAGCGGCACCACAATACAAGAAGACTACTATGAAATCCGAAGTCAAAATTCATCACAAGTGAGAAGCTTTCTGTTCCTAGCCATCCACAGCCTGACAGCATGTGCTTGAAAAGCAGCAAAGAGGCTCGACAAAAGCAATTCTCATGTTCGGTGCCGAAACCTAGTCCAGATTAAAATCCACAGGAACGCCAAAGGGATTCCCAAAAGAATTCTTGGATATTAAGATTCTCACACTTTTTCTTTTGATGCCTGAAAGCTCTCTTAAAGAATCATACTGTGTGCTCTAAATAAAGCCTAACCCGCCATGAAACATATCATTCCCGCATGACCTCGCTAAGCCAAAACAGCCTTATAACCTCAGTTCTTCAACTTCTACTAAGCCTGGGACAGCATGGATCACATTGGGCCTTCTGGTTGCTGCCAGTCCACATTGTTGAAAGCCGCGGCAAGGAAGCGCGCGGCATCCTCATGGCCCAGAGCCTGCTATTTTCCAAGGTTCACAAGACTTAAGCTCGTGGTGGTGGTGGTGGTGGTGGTGGTGGTGGGGGTGGGGGCGGTGGCGGCGGTTGCGGTGCCGGTGGTGGTGGCGGTAGGGTGGTTGGGGGTGGGGGTGGGTGGTGGGGGATGGGAGTGGCGGCAGCGGTGGCGGGGCGGTGATCATAACAACAGTCAATCTCAATGATAGTTAGTGGTCGAACCATTTTAGCAGCTTACTGATTGCAACAACAATGAGAATTTGAGTGGGAATGGTGATGTTCAATGATGGTGATGATGACGTTCCATGCAGTGCTGGAAGTGCAGCTCCCCAGCAATTTAGAGGAAAGGGCGCTATGTGCTGCACGCTGAAAGGTTCGGATCTTTGTGGTTTACCTGCCCCCGGAGAATTGAGGACAACTTGTGGGATCCGTACAGGTCCTTTTCAAGCTCCCGTGGCAGTAGTAGCCCGACGCCCTAAGGGCTGTGTTGCGGAAAGGGGCCTATTGAAGAATCCACATGCAACTCCCGAGAAGCCCAAATGCCCTTCAAGATCTGCAACCCGCTCGCCACTGCTCTGCCGCACGTCATGCTTTGAAAGAACGTTTTGTAGCGCCGTCGGAAGCCTGAGCAAGGAACCCTATACAATCCCTCTACATGTCCTTCGTTGTCCTAAGATTCTCAGTGGTACCCGGTACCCATGTTCTGAATGACCCGCTCAAAAGAGCTCCATGATACATCCTGCTGCTTAACCCACCCCAGACACTAAACCCTGATCCCTAACCCTAAGCCATTAATCCTAGACCTGCTGCCCTGCCTGTGGAAGGTGGGCAGCAAAGCTCCTTGGTCAGAAGCCCCGGAGAAACACTAGAGGGTGGATCATGGGCTATGGCGGCCCTTAGTGGGGCTAGGGGGTCCTAGTATTCGAAAGGCTGGGAGGTTGCTGCCAGGCGTAATGGAGGTTATGAGCTAGAAAAGCTGTAAGTGCAACCGTAACCAAGAGGCTTACAGCAACTATGGCCCCCTTGCAAGATCTTGCAAGTAAACGCAATCATCAACTATTCTCAACATGTTGAGCCTGTTCAGGTACCAGTTACTGGACCTCGTAATTTTTAGGTACAAGAATGCGGCACGACATTTGGAGAATGGCCATGTGGCCACAATGCCTGATCTTGAGCTGAGGATGGAACGTGAAGATACAAGGCTTGCAAAGTTGGAGGGCATTAATGTGGCAATTGCAATGAATGGCTCTCAAACTTCAGGGGTTGGGGTAAATGTTTTGGAAGCCACGAAGAGATACCAGACTCCATGATAAGGTAGTTTGCAATTTATGGTGGCAGATCCGAGAAAGGAACTGCTGATCCAAAGAATTTTGACCTTCATAATAACACGCATCTTAGCCGCTATCAAATTTCCCATGTACCACAGCAAGCATAAACAGGAGTTTCACAAACAAAGAAGGCTGACAGGGGCTAGGAGCTTTTGGGTCCTTTGCGCTGGAACACCTCTACAATGCCGAGAGGGGCTGACATGCGCTGAAGTATGGATTGAAATGTTTTGAGTCTGAATGTGTGACAGCCCAGTGTTGACAGACCAAACCGTGCATGGCGCGAGAAAGCAGAGACCCCAGATACCATAGCAGTCTGATATGCTATGACACATGTGTGATGCCATCCACCCTAAGCAATCGCAGGCTCTCCGGCCTCCTTGTTTCATCTGCCACAGCCAGGCGCCAGCGCAGGTTAGAGGGCGCGCGGTCTGCAACGAGGCGAAGGCCTCAGGCTCTGTGGACAACAGCCCACATTGGCTAAACAGGTGATGTGCATGCGATTTTGAGGAATGTGCCAAGACTTGGATAATTACTCCCAAGGACGCTCACCCTATACTCAGTCAACACCTTTCATTAACATGCGCTACCTTGACATTAGCTCGCGTTTGCAAGTAGGTTTTGCGAAGCTGTTTCCAGAAGGATCCTGAACAGGCAGGCCCGGGGACAAGTTGGGACAGGGTTGGTTAGGCCGCAGGGATACATGTTACAGTCTACAGTCTAGATGTGTAGATGCAAGGTTGCATTCGTTGAGGTTGTTGAGGTCCAAGTCTGATGTAGCTTTCTGCTTTGGAGTTTCAGGTCAAGGCAAGGGTCACAAACGTGGGATTTGCCGCATTAGCTAAGTTGTAGCACTCGCGGTCGACAAGCTGCGGGACTATCGTTACCACGCATTCGGATCTCCTAATGTGAGTCTTGTCACAGCAACGTCACGCTGTCGCTCGCGGCATAGCCAGGTTCTGGAATTGGGGCACGTGTGGAGTTTGGCGGGCCTCACTGTCGGAATGCTTTGGCTGGGGAGCATGAGCCCGTGGTTCCAAGCTATGTGTTGCGTGGTGCCACCTTCTGCATCTGTGGTATGTGCAGGACTTGTGTTTCCCTGGAGGAACAGACCACAATCCGTATGTTCTTGTAATATTCCACCCCCACCCCAAGCGCAAAACTCTAGACCACAAACAGCCTGAATTCCCAACTGTGAATCCGTCACCCTAAACTCAACCCTGAACCATCCACGCCCGGAAGCCTAAGGCTGGGACCCACCTTCCCGCGTGGCTCCTCGGATGGGGTCAGCGCTGGCTCCACGGGAGCCTCTTCAAAGAGGAAACACATTTAGGTGTTTTAGTAGGGTCCAGACCTTTCAGGGTTGATTGTCCTTCGGGAAGCTGCCATTCGGGAGTTTGAGGCTTGCAGCTTATCTATGCATGTCGTGCCTTCAGAACCTGAAGAGCGCGGTGCTGCACTTTGATCTCTGCACAGCGCAGGGTCCAACTCCAAGCTTATGAGGCGTTACTGCTTGGACATTTGGAAGCTCTCTACATGAAGCCGCATAAAACCAATCTGAACCCTGTCAAATCCCCACGGCAGCCTTGTCCTCATTCTCCAGGTATAGATTATGGAGAAGCACTAGTGTCATTGTAGACATAATGCTACGAAATCATTCCTTACACTGGTTTTTCCCTACCTACAACTCCTATGGAATCTCCGTTGCCGTGCCATGATCCACCTTCCATGTCATTCCCGAGTATCGTCTATAACTTGGATTCTCCGGACCTTATAAATCATTAAAGATATCTGTTTCCATACAACCCATCATGTATATATGACAATAAAATACGTGATATGCTATCCTTTTATATTATATATACATTATATTATACTACGCCATAATACATTTTAGTATCTTCTTTCATGTTATACTATATCCCTGTAAGTATAAACTTCCGCCAAGGCAGCCTTGTCGTCGTCCTTGGCCTCTGTCGCGATGGGCGGCAAAACTGCTGGCGAGTCGAAAAGCTGCCTCCGCAGCGCTGGGCTCCTGAGCTAAGTTTAGGGTTTCGGGTATGGGGGGTTTGGATTGAGGATTTATAGATCTAGGAGTGTATAGGGAGTACGGTGTGTAGTGCCTCAGGAAGAAGTTGTTCTTTTTTTGGGGGTGTAGGGTTTAGGGCTTCGGGGCTCAGGGTCTATGAGGTTATTGGTCTCAGTGGGTATGATAAGGCCCAAACTCCTGTTTTGAACATGCATAGGTGTATATATCCGTGTGCGCATATACATAAATGAACATGCTTACATGTACCAAGGATGAGTAGCCGAAACACTTCTCAATGCAGCTCTTTGGAATTTTGGAGGGCTTGTGACCGCAACCCTTCGCGGACAGCAGCTTTTTGACGAAAGTTCTGTTGCTTCACTACTAGTACCCCCCTAGTATTACATGTACATATATGCGTGTTATTTGTGGCAGCACTAGGACCACTAGTAGAAGTGGTGGTGGTCATAGAAGCAGCAGCAGTAGCAGTAGGAGGAGTAGGAGTGGGAGGAGGAGAACCTTGAAGCTGACCCCGTTCATTATCAAGCTATAGCATGTTTGTACAGCACCATGGTCAGCGGCGATGGGCAAGCTTCATGCATATGTGACCAACACTGGACTCTGACTGCCTAATGCGGCTGACCTTTTTTGCAGTAAAGATGCTCTGAGGCCTTTTCCAGCAAAGACCCTGGGATGACGTAAAATGCGATCACCTGCGTCGCCCTTCAGAGTGAAAGCCCTCTAACGCCTTTTCAGG